CTTAGAAACATTAGCATGTGCTTTAAATCCTAATTTATAAGCACTTGAGTATTATTTTTCCTATATCTCAAAAATCCAAAATCCAAATGCCATAAATTTTGTAAATAAAGTTTAATAACATAAATGACACATTTTTAGAAATTTTTAGTCAAAACCTTATCAAATTTTTTAAGATATAGTTCGAAACACAACCACTAGTAAATCAGGTCACTTGTTGCCTTTAGATTGTAAGTGTTGACTTCAACTTCCTATATTTCTTTTATTCCAGTTTAGAATTTATTAAGTAATATGCAAAAAGTATAGCTAAAAAAGTGTTCTCTTCAAATCTGGTTGCCGATCCTTCATTGCTTCCCGTACACATGTATTGTATCCAAAAGAGTGATAGCATGTATAAAACCAACATCTTAACTTTGAGCACCTATATCTCTTTCATAAAAGCTCAAAATTATACAAAATTTATACTAAAACCATAGCAAAAAATCTATACTTCTTGATTCTAATATCCTAAGTTTAAATGTCCTCAAAAGAATAATCCTAATTCCTAATAAGACCTCAGGAAATCTCCTTGAAGCCCATTAGGCATGCCTCTTGGCCAATAGTAATAGAGATTTTCATCATCCAACTCTATTCATCCATATAGATGCCCTAACTACTCTTTTTTCTACCAAAATCCCTCTCTATCTATTTGTTTTATAAGTTTTATATAATATATATCCTAAACATCAAATAAAAGAAACAAAAGAAGATTTCAAGAATCACCAATGTCTAATAAATATGACTCTAAATATATAAAATTATTATTAACATAAAATCTACTTCAATAATAGCTTTTTTAAACTAATTACTTTAAAGTAGTAATCTAACTATATTTTGTAACTAACTAAAATCTAATAATGTGGCTTTTATTATATTATATAGTAAATTTTATATTACATATATATATATATATATATATATATATATATATATATACATATTATTTTTATATGATAGTTAAACCATAATACAAAAATTTCAAGTTTTATCTAAAGTTTCTTTTTTTCTAATATTCTTATAGATTTATTCAAGTTGATTTCTTAATTTCTACCTTTGATGTAAAAAAATTTAAAAATATTTTATGATTTGAATTCATTCTTAAAAAAAGCTATATTTGAGAAAAATGATCAAAAAAAGATAATAGAGACCAAAGTCTTATCTTTACAACAACAATCATATTTGACTACTTTATATGTTGTTGAATTTTAAAAGCTTGCTAACAATGTGGATTGAAATAACCAAGCCAATATCAATCAATTTTTATATGGATTAAAAGATAATATCAAAGATTTGTTATTGATAATGCTAAGATCAAATTTATTGAAATAATTTATTGCTCAAGCCATTCAATGTAATTATTAAATTTTAAAAGATACTAAGAATAAAAATTTGAATAGAGAGGAATAAATTAAGTTGTGATGATAACTTTTAAATTTTTCAAAACTTATTTATTAAAGGTGTAACCTATGTAATTTAATATTACATATTTTAAATCTCTCATTAAGCAAGAAAAAACTTAAAGTAGTCAAAAAGATTTGTGCTTATATTCTAGATAACCTTAGTATACTGCTCAACATTGTTTAGAGAAGCAATACAATTATAGAATAAAGAACATAGTTGCTAAAGAAGATGGTGTATTGAAAAACAATTTTTTTGAGCTATAATAAAGACCATTTGGCTAAAATCTTATACAACATCTATCAATGCTTTTATTTTTTTTAAAGATTCTTCACCTTATTTTACAATAAAAATTTGTTTAGAATCAAAAAATTATAAATTCTTATCTTTGTTAAATTTAAAAGCTTTGCCTTATTTTATAAACAAATATTTTTTTTAAAGTAATAAATATCTTTAATCAAAAAAACTAAGCCCTTATATATAGAAGTCATAGATAGTTGTTTGTTATCTTCAAGAGATGTTATTCATAAAACCATTTCTTTAGATGTAGCAACTAATGGGCATAATAGTTTAGTAATATTTAATGTAATTAAATCTCTCTTTGGCTAATTATTCTAAGATTATATAGATAGAAAAGTATGATCTTCAAATAAACTAGATTTTATGTAACTTTAATGTTTTTTGTAGTTTCGCCTAAAACTTTGTTGTTCAAGTAAAAAGTCATAAGTTTGACAGAACCAAATCTTTATTAGTATGTGCAAGAATTTTTCATGCATGTTGAAAAAGAAGGGTCATCTTTTGCAATATACATCATATCTATTTTTGATAGGAGAAAGACTATAAGTGGCATTCTAGGCTAATATTAAGATTATCAAGGCATTTTTGAAAAGAAGAATGTAGATATTCTTTCAAAGTATTGTCTCCATGATTGTTTGATTGATCTTCAAGAGAAAACTTAAGTGCCATTTTGATCAATTTATAGCTTATCACAATATAAATTGGATGCATTCAAGGAATATATTAATAAGAAATTCATCTCTTATATGAGCTTCTATCTTATTTTTGAAGAAAAAAAATGATCATTGTGGATGTACATAAATTATCAAGAATTCAATAAGATCACCATCAAGAATAGATATCATCTATTTTTGCTATCAAAACTTGTTGATCAATTGAAACAAGTTAAGATCTATACAAAAATATATCTATGAGGAGCATATAATTTGATACACATCAAAAAAGGAGATGAAAGAAAAAAAATATTTTGAATCAAATATAGACATTTTGAATAAAGTGCCCTGCTTTTTGGATTCACAAATGTATTAGCTATTTTTCAATATCTTATGAATGATGTCTTTTAAGAGTTTGTAGATGATTTTATCATCTATTATTTACACAACATCTTAATCTACATTAAGAACATAGAAGAATATGAACTTTATGTTAAATTTATATTATAAAAATTTAAAGATATAAGACTATATGCCAAGACAAAAAATTATATATCTTACACTATTCAAGTTGACTTCTTAGGATGCATTATTTCAAATGATGGTCTTATGATAGATACTAAGAAAGTTCAAACTATCATAAATAAGAAGGTTCTAAAAAGAATAAGAAATGTTCAATGTTTTTTGAAATTTACTAATTACTATTGGATCTTCATTAAGAACTTTTTTCAAGTTGTAGCTCAACTTATACATATACCAAATTATAAGACTCACAATATATTTATTATTTTTGGTCATGACAATAATAATTTATTTCAAATAAAATATTACAAGATTTTTATTTTATTCTTTTGGCTTTGTATCCATAATTTAAAATTATATGTTAGATTTATATAAAATTATTAATGAAATAACATTAATTTTTTAAAAAATAATCTTTTATATTTTTATATTTATATTGATGAAACAAATAACAGTTGTATGATTTAGTAAAATCCATAATAAAAGAAAATTTCTTAGAAATTTTTTAAAATAAAAATAAAAATAGACTTATTATTATTATTCAAAACTTAAATTGATCAAATTATGCTTCAATCACAATTTTAGTTTTTTTTGGTTTATCAACAATAATAATATTTAATAATAATAATAATAATCATGAATTAATATTTACTTTTAAAATTTTTATTAACAAATAAGTAAACATTTGTAGAGTTTTTTACAAGTTTTAGAGTGAGATTTGAATATCAAAGGACCTCTTAATAAAAGAAAATCTAAAATTAAAATCAATTGCTTAAAACTTAATACAAAAATGATAATATTAGATAATTTGTGGATTGTGGATCTAATGAAAAATAATTCAATAAATACCTAAGTTATTAAATTAATATATGACAATAGAAAAATAGTGAAAAAATAAATAAAATTAGATTAAACATATATGATGATTAGATTTTTTTTATAATTCTAAGAGGATTAATTATTATAAAATAATAAATAAATAAAATTTAAATAATAAAATAGTAATTTCATGCTTAATAAATATATATATATATATATATATATATATTAGTCATAAAAAACCATTGATACTCCTAACAAATAATAAGATAAAGATAAAATTACATTCATAATATAATTGAATGCATTATAAAATAAATTAAACAAGGTCAAGGAAGGTATCAAATGTATATTAATTAGATCAAATAATAAGACCAATATTGCACAGAAGGATTGAAAATAGAGGCATGTAAAATAATAAATATTTTGATAGTATTTAGGTATTTTTGGTATATCCTAAGAGTCATAATAAGTGATTAATAAAAATTAAGTCAATCTTATGGTCAAATTTTGGTCAATGGTTCAATCTTGTAGAATTAAGTCAATTTAAAAAGACCATCGCAAGAATACACGTTTTTGGAAACAAATCAAACAACCAACATGACTATTCATCTCACGAGGTGTATTGATGCATAAATTGATTATGAATAACAGTAATTCTGATCATTCATTCGTTCTACTCTTCTGACTAATACAATAGATACACAAAATTTGTGATTAATTCATCACATGCTATAGATTTATCTCCTTTTCTAAAATCAATATAGCTTTCCTGCAATTAGAAATCATCAACGGTCATCGATTAGCAAAATAAGGGTCATCCTTCTATTTTGTAGAGAAAAAGGTTTTTCTAGAGTACCAATGAGTGTCTGTTAATATTTGTAATCCTCTGTTGTTTTTTTTTTCTCGTGGTAACAGTAAATAAAAATCAACCCAAGCCAAGCCATGATAGTCATGCGACCCCAAGCGAAGCTTCTGGCGGAACTGGAGTGTTCCTCAACGAGGAGAGGTCTTCATTGTGCTTTTTTCGTTCCGTAATTTGTAGTCTCCGCAATCGTTATGGCTGATCTGGGCATCCATTACGCAACAGAATCGATAAAATCGACACGTGGTGACGGCGACTCAAGCGCGTGCCCAGTGGCTCTCCGACGAATCTTTCTTTTTTGCGGCCCTCTCACGCAAGCTCTCTGGATCACTCGCTGACTCGGCCTTGCGATTCTATCTCGCTCGTTTCTGTGTTGATTAACCCTGCGTGCTCTCTGAGATTTGTGGGTTCGCAGCCGTTTTGCGATTTCAGGTGCGTTGCTCGAATTCCTGACTGATTTTCGGAAATGAGGGAGTTGTCTTTCGAGGGTTTTGGTTATTTCTGGGTCACAACGTTTCTCAGTATGTGTGTCATGTTGGTCTGGGGGATTGGAGGGATTTGGGACGTCGTGCTGAGCTAGACGCGATTGACGGTGGGTTCGATCTTGCTGCTCATGCATACATAGACTTGGTTAGTTGGTATGGTCGATGCGGTGTTGAACTCTGGTGTGTTGGTGTGTGGAACTGAGTTCTTTCTAGTTTGTTGTCGTGATTTTCGTCCTTTTGTAGGATGTATTGGCTAGGCTACGTTTAGTGGTCAAGTGTACTGGGTTTTGGCTTCTCGATTTCTTGTCGCTTAATGCTGGAAAATGTGGTAGCAGGCTTGCGCTGCGGCTGTAGTGATGTGTGGTATTGTGTGGGTAGAAGCCATTACGTGATTGTCAAAGGAAGTGTGAAATTGGAGTAGAGATCGATGTTAGAACCTTCAATTTAAAGAGTACGTGATGGGAGAGATAGTACCTCAGTATGTGATACACTTTTGTGCATATCTCATTGGTTCTGAATGACATATCTATTATCGTTTTAATTTGCTGATGTAGTAGCGGAGCAGAAGAGGGGTCTCGTGATCAATGTAAATGAGGGTTCAAACACTTGAAACGAGTTCAGGTTTGTTTCGTCTTCCCAGTGTGCGCTGTATGCGGACTGGTGAATCATGTGTTCATAGTGGACGTTATTGTGGTTTCTCCAGGTTTTGTATTGTTGGTGCTATTATTTCGATGAAATATCCCATATTCGGCATTGAGGCTGTGTATACTAGGTGAATGACATGAAGCGTCGTTGTTTGTCAAACCAAACTCATATTAGCCAGGAAGTGAAAACCAGCAGTTCGACATACATTCTATTTTTCCCCGAGTTCGGTATCATGTGAAGTTTTTGAAATGGTGAAGTGAATTCATGGCCTTACATTGCAGGGCGCTGCTAAGATCTTTGAGTTGTCAAGCATTTTGAACTTAACGGCGTCTTGATGCTTAGTTCTGTGTTCCGAATTATGGGTTATAGCACGGTCCAAATACTGGTGTGTGTTTTCATTTCATTATGTGTTCAATTCCTTGCCATGTCTTTGTACGGAACCGTGATTTACTGATCGATCGTGGTTTTGTGTTCCATCGTGCAGACCTGATCTCTTACAGGTCTTGCCATATGAGTTCCAGGCCATTGTTATTTGGAGGCGTTTTAGCGTGCATTTTTATTCTACTTTGGAGTGGATCGCAGCCAGCTTGTTCAACCATGGCAAAGGTTTTTATTCAGTTATCACATTTTTTTTCGGTGTCTTTGTAGTTTAATAAGGTTTTCCACTTGATATTTCTCCTGCTCCTGCACAAATAGACTTGATAAGCTGAGGGTCGATTTTTGAATGTTCCTCTTGTGCTTTCATAGCCCATTCAGGGTTATATTATTGCAGCTTCATTTTTTAGTTAGTAATACAAGGAACGTGCTAAGAATCGAACTGGAAACCTATTGTGTATCATTAGTTCGTCAGAATCGTGATAGCTATAAAGTTTGATACTGGAGGATGACTTAACAAGAATTGAACTTCGTTATCTTCAAATGCTTTTGGAAAGGATGAAATGTTTTGGCAATTTCGGGCTTCTGTGGACAAGTCTGTTCTTGGCTAAATTTTAAAATCATTTATACATGATTTGGGTCAGAGTAACGATCACAAATTCTATGAATCAAGGAACGTGGGACTTTTAATTCCTCATTTGAATAATTGTGATGGTAGAATCACAAGTAAAATTGGTGACGACTTTTAATAACCACGTGAGTGCTCAAAGGACTCGATGTGTAGAATTGAAGTGATGCTTAGTACCCTTGCGAAGTTGCTAAGTGGAGCCTAGTGCTCTTGCGAAGTTTTACTAATTGTCTTCATAATCAACCACACAGGACGAAAGATCTGTCCACATTGTCTACGTGGAGAAGAGTCCTGATCACTTGAACGACGTGGAAAATCATCACCTTGGCATCCTTTCTCAAGTTACTGGCGGCAGGTTTGTTTTGTTTGTTTTTTTTTGTTTTTCTGTTTGTTTTAACGATTTGCTGCGGATGTTGCCTTGTGGGGTATTGGAGGGGACATTGTTCACTTTAGAAAGTGTGGGGTTATTTGAAATATTTGAAGAGAATTATTGCGGAAATGAAAGATTGCTTGGATGCACGTCAGCAATCTGACCTTTTATCGAGCTTGGAAATGATGCAGCGTTATATGCGTGTGTCCATTTGCAGTTGAGTCTTGTTTTACAATCTATGTCACCTTTTAACTTACTCTACATCTGTGCAGCCTTGATGCAGCCAAGGAACATATGCTGTACAGTTACAGCCAAGCGATGAGTGGCTTTTCAGCAAAGCTTACACCTGACCAAGTCGAGTCCCTTAAAGGTAATAGATTTTTCCGATTTCAGCGTAGTCGGTGATTCTGTGAGTATGCTACGTTTGCTCTCGTTTTTCTTGTTCACGATTACTGTTTTCGCAGAGTTACTGACGTGTTTTGGTGGTTGTTATTTAGGAGTACCTGGAGTCGTGCAAATTGTGAAGGACCAAGTGCACCACATCGCGAGTGAAAACAAAGGCGTTGGTGGCTCAGGTCCTCGTGTAACCAAAGTGGGTGGTAATGTGATCTCTTCTTTGGGTGATGCCGCAAACCTTCAGTAAAGATACTGACTACCCAAAATAGACGTTTACTGGAAACACCATACAATGGATGTGGTTTGAAAAAAACATTTTGAAGTCTCTCCTCGAGTGTTCTTAGTACTGTATTCGAGATCTGCCAGGAATACATTTGTGCATGTCAGTTGCTGGGGTGACCTTTCGTGATTGTCCTCTCGTGTGTTAAGTCCAGCGTAGTAGAATGCTGTTGCATTGATGGAAGATTCTTTGTTGACGAACATCAAAACATCGGATCGCAGCAACTGGTCAGGCACTGGAATTTTATGAATCTGGCTCTACACAAAGTAGACGTGCCTTACGCAATCCTTTAAAATCGAATAAAATCCGTTAACTTGCATTTTTTCCTCAAAGCTCACTCGACTGCACGCGTCATAGTCAAGTATCTATCGTATTTTTGTGACATAGCGAATGACATACTGAATCACTTCCAATTTACTAGAGTGCGTAAGTGAATGCCAAAACTTCCCACGTGCCAAACGACCTACTCATTCTGCAGCCTATTGTGTGGAGTGAAGGGGGATTGATACCACTTCACCACTACTGCCATGTGCTTTTGATCTTGATAATGGAAGCTTTGTCTGCTAAAGATTTCTCTTTTTTCCGTGACTTCGTTCTCAGTGGCTAGTAATGTTGTCATCACCAACCACGAGGCAGTTGAACGTCGTCGTTGTCGCATTTGTTTTGGTCGCTGTTAATTTGCTGGTGTTGGGTGCAGCGTGTCAGTTCGCCAAATGATGTGGAAATATCTGCTTCGAAGCCAAATCTTTGCAGATGTATGCCGTACAATATAGATATTATACTCCACCTGATTTTTACATATTTGTACGTGAAACAAGATTGCAAGAATAAGATGGTGGATCGGATGCTGCGATAGTGGTCGATTTTCTGCCTCAAAAGGTGTGGACTGAAATACATTTCTTTGCAAGTGGGAAGGTTCTATCAATCCAAAAGTGGCAAAAAGCTACTGTACCTAATCATGACATGATTGTCCACTATCTCCAATTTCCAAACATTTTATTTGGGTAGAGCTCTTCACCACGTTGCAAATGTGTTATTACGTATAAGATTTCATCCAACACACTAAAACCAAATCATGGTAAATCTTCTATGTTGAAAAGTGCAACATGTTAAACATTTTATTTTAAAAGCTTAAAAACTCAAATTTGTCAAGAAAAGTAAAGAGTATTATAACCTTAATGCAATAGGGTATTAAGATTTGAAGTTGTGAATTGAAGCATTTTTTTTTAAATATGTTATTAATTAAATCTTTCCGTGGTTGGAATCTTGCTTCTAGTTTGTTGAACTATCTAATAAGATAGAAATGTTTAAGTTGATATCAAAAATACATTTATCTTCTTTTAGATAATATTTTACTTTGACTTCTTAAAAATTAAATAAATTAGGTCTTCTTCCAAATTATATTTGTTATATATAAATTAAATATATAATTTTAGTTTTTTATCAAAGAAATATTATTTTTTATAATTAAGTGATATTTGTCTCACAAATTGATTTATTCCATACTTCAATAAAAAGATCCAATTTATTTAAAAATATCTATTTTATTATACCTAAATTAATTCTAAGAGATTTATTTCTATATTTTATTTTTTAAAAAGTAATTAAGAATATATCTATTATTATTTTATATTTTTTTAATAATATTTTAAAAATCACTTTACTTAAATGTCACCAATTTGTAATAAAATCATATTCTATTTAACTAAAAGTGTTATCAAAGCATCATCCATATTTAGAAGACCTAAGCAACCTTTTTATTTAATTTTCAACATAATCTATGAATTGCTTTAGAACATACTATCATATTATGTATCATCTTGCTTAAGAATGCACTAGGCACTTAACTATGGAAGATAAACTTGTAATTTATAACAAACAAAAAACCTAACAACTTTAATACTATCCCCAAAAAAAATCTCAATTGAACCTTAACAACCCTCATCAAATCTTATTCAAATCCAAAAGAAATCATAAAGAAACCTTAAAGAAATCATTTAAAAAAATCTTAAAGAATTTCTAAGTAAATCCTAAAAAAACTCTAATTAAGGTCTGAATAAATCCTAATGAAATCCTAATGAAATCCTGAAGAAATCTTCACAAATTCTGATAAAATCGTAAAGAAGAACTAATAAAATCTTTATAAAATCTTAATTGAACAAAAACCAATTATAATCAATCCCTATAATTGTTTTAGAACTTCAAAAACTATTAATTAAATTGTTGATCTTACTTATAAATCTATATACATTTCAATCTACAAATTAAAAGCATACACACATAATTAAAGAAAAATCAAACTTATTGATTAAAAATAAAAGCTCTTAACTTACTTGGATGTTGGTTTTTCTTTTCTAACCTTCATGTCAATCTTCTAGCAATAATAGATCTTTTTTAAACCATTCACTTTCTCTAAACATTGGTAAGTAGGTTGCAAATTAAGTTTACAATGTATTTACAAAACATTGTCTTAATCTAATTGGAAATTTTTTTAAAATCAAAGAAACCCTCATTGACCCTTGAAATCCAACTTTTGAGAGCTTTATCCAATTAAAGTTCAATAGTCTTTGATCTAATCATTCGATTGAACTCAAATATACAAATCAAATTTTATCAAAGTAGATTTACAATCCTACAAACTTTCACTAGTCAATTTTCTATAGTGCTTACAAAATTCTTAGTAATGTAAACTCTTTTTTATTTTTCAAAATCCTAAATCATCTAAACAAAATTTGACTTTTCAAAGCTCTTGTAAAATCAATATCAATCCAAATCAATTCAAACCAACGCTCAAACAACCATCATTAAGTCTCTTCTATAATCTAGTTTTTTAATCAACAAAAAAATTCCATAGTTGTCATAAGTGCTTGATTTTATAAAGCAAGAAGTTTACCATAGAACTTAGATATTTAGTCGAATTGAATTACTAATTTACAAATTAAAGAAAACACCATATTTTTTTTAAGGATATAATTAAGAAATACAAGTTTATTTTGTTAGATTTAAAATCTCTTTTTATTGTGTCTATATTAATCAAAATATTTAAATCTTCTTTAATTGAATTGAACTAAACATATATCTTAAATCAAATTATATCATCTTATTATAAAAAAGAATTCAAATTAATAACCATGGCTTATTTTTATTTTCTGAAAATAAATATTTAGATTAGTGGTAAAAATTTTGATTTTTCTTTTATATTGTGTTAGATTTGTATTCATTTATTTTAATATATATGTTTTATTGTTGGAATTTTTCTCTTTTGTACTTTTTTTATAAGTTTATTTATTTATTTATTTATTTTAATATCTTGTCTTTAAGTCTCTAAGCATTTGATTTGATAATTAGCTATGTAACCTTTGATTATTGTTTCTATGCTTTGCTATCATAGATTATATAAGTTTGCTGTCTATTAGCAAATATAACTATTAATCAATGTTTGATGATAAATAAGAACTTGTTTGTTTGACTAAAATATAATTTAATCTTAAATAATGTACTTGCAATTAAAAATTATGTAATATTGGTGTATCTAAAAATAAATTATTCTTTGACTATTATAATTCTAATTTTAATTATTTTTTATTAATGGCATCAAATATAACATATTTTTTTGTTTTTTTTTTCCTATAATAATCAAATTATGTTATTTTACTAGCAAAAGAAGATTGAATATAAGCTAATATTTAATTTTAACTTTTACATAAATATTATTTTATATATTTTTTTATATATCTACTAATCTTATATATCAATTATTTTGTAATTTATTTTCAGTTTTTTTTAATACTAAATCTTCTTTCTTTTATCTTTGGTTTATATATATTCTTAAATTACCATAATCTAAAATAAATTTAGATATTATTTTATTATCTAAATTTTTTACTAATTTGTTGTCTTTTATGATATAGAATGATGTAAAAAATTATTATTTAGATTTTAATTACTTTTAATTATTATTTTTTTATATATATTTTTAATTAAAAATATTCCTTCTATTAAGAACATGAAGCTCAAAGAAAGAAATCCTCAATATATTCTTATGTCACTAAAAAGAATTAGAAAGTCACTCAAAGATGGTATAGTATTAAATTAGAATGGCTATTGCCAAAGATAAGAAGATTAGAATGTCTTGAAACAAGACTAAGGACTATAAAGGCATTAACAAGAATGAAGAAGGCTTCATTGTTGCCTCTATATATACTCTTCATCAGGAGCTAGGTTGTGGTGTCCTATAGGACTTCTAAAACATGTTGACTTTATAAGACATGTATCTTATCTTGCAAGGTAAGTTTTCTATATATATGCCACATAATTAGCTTATTCCACAACCTACCGATACTTGGTTAACTTTTTGATTAAGTTTCTAATCTATTAATCAACTACAAACACATGTAAAGTCAAAGTAACATCTATGAAGCTTTTAGAAAGCTTTCTTAGAAAATATTATGAAATAAATCTACTTTTATTTACTTCTACTTAATCTCATAGATAAATATTAAAATAAATATATATGTCCATGACATTATTTCCCTTTTAGAAATAAGTTCTACAAAGAGTGATCATCATCTTTCATAGATCTTCCTATTCTTTATCTTAGTTGTCATGGACATTGTCAATGAAAAGTCTCAATCCTTCTTCTTGTATTTGTAAGATTCTTTGCTAGCATCTATGTGCATTCATTAATATCATATCTCTACCAATTAATAACATATTTCAATCTATTTTAGCATCGTTTAAAATTTAAAACTTCTTCTACCTCAAACTCTTGATGATCATCTACTTTTATAGAAAAAGGTGGTATTTGTCTTCTTTTCGAAATATTTAGTGTCTTATATGGCTTAAAAAGAGACATGTGAAATATGGGATGAATCTTCATAGACTCCAATAGATATAATTGTTAAGCAACATAATTGATTTGTTTACTAATAAGAAAAGGTTTAAGCCTATAATAGTTCAATTTATTATTAAGATGAATAGTTTTGATATTGTAATAAAGTAGCTATATCTTATCATCTACATTGAATTGTGGTTGTTTCTTGCAATAGACATCTCCATTGATTTTGTGTCATTCTTGAGATTTTTTTAACTGTATCTTTATTTTTGCATGTAGCTTTGATAAACAATTTATCAAATCTTTTGTCGCAAAATTATCAACTTTTGAAAAGTCAAAAATATCAAGTTATGGATGATAACCATAATTGGCTAAGAAAGGTGTTTATTGAGTAGAAAAATGTACCAAGTTATTACATTCAAACTTTGCCAATAGTAAAAGAATTTTTCAATCATCTTGATGATAATTGATCGTATATTTCAAATACT